CCGTCGGTTTTCCCTTCACATAAATAGCAGAAGAGAAAGGTAAAGAAAAGGAGGGAATATTTGCGACATGAAACACGTCAAATGTACACGAGATATTCTACACTTCCATGCAGGGTGTGCCACATGTACCCCCGCACAGGGCGCAAATTCACCAGGGCCGCCAAAACGTGACTGAATGAAGTAATAATGGATGCCACCCTCAGATTTATTTCAGAAAGTGGAAACCCATCCTGATCAAAATGTGTATGTGGGGAGCGTTGGGAGTCCTTGTCGGTGTCGGAACACCACTGTCTTGTTGGAGACAATAGGTATTAGAGCCGTTGTGGCGAAATTTGCCTGGCAGACAAGTGTATATATTGGCTTCTAGGGTAGGTGAGAAGAATTCACTCAGCTATAAAGTCCGCCCTCCACGTTACATAATTCACCGTACTAATAAATCCAAACAATGTTTCCCAACAAAATTACATCAATGTCCGGTCTCGAAACTTGAATGGATAGTGTGTGAATTTTCTCCTCGATTGGGATAGATCCCAAAAGGTGAAGGGAGGGCGTAGGCGAGGACGGATTTTAAGCTTAAGGGGGTAGTAATTTGTATCACTAACCCTACCTGCCTGGCGTCAGTCATCTGCCTCCTGATTTGGAATGTCAAAGATTGAGGCCGTGAAATCAGACACACTTTCGTCTTAAAAGGCACTTTTTGTCTTATGAGCGCACCTTCTCACTTCCTTGCGCTTTCCTTTTGTNTTGGCCTCCTCGATCCACTGACTCTGAAGGGGCACCTGCAGTTTCATTAAAGGTGCCTCTGAAGATGACAAAGATTCTTGGATATTTTTAGTCTCTCCCTCCCTCTCAGTGGGTGATTGATGAGGCAATTAGGGGCTAAGTCACCTGATCGACTTCACAGCATTCCTCTCTTCACCGATTTGTCTCTCATCGGGTTACAAAGGTGAGGCTTCAGGAAGAGAGGTCGCATGCCCAAGGTCATTGGGATAATTGGTCGATGAACTCCCTTCACCTTGGCCACTATTCCATGTCCAAAATGTTTCAGGTAGAGGGAGGAAGGTACGTTTTTTGCTTCACTTGGCCAGCAACCTCCCTCCTCTCCACTTGAGCGATTGAGGTTCCATAGTTCTTTCTCCCTCTCTCTTCCTTCCTCTAGGGTCTTCCACAAGATTGCTCTCTTCCGGTGTTCGTTACATGAACTCTCAGAGTCTGGGAGTTTGCGTGCTGATCCCTCGATAAGCTACTAATGTTCAGCGGCTGGCAAAGCCTATGGAATAGGAGAGAGGAAAAAAAAAAAAGACGACGTCCTGTATCGTGCTATGTACATTACGCTCTCGACGCACTCTATGAATACATGTTACACAATTGCAGGAAAAGTGGGTCGAGCCTTCATATCACAATTTCTTTAATTCGTGTTTCCACCCGTTGTTGGATATGATGCTCCAAAATTTGCTTCTTGTAGTTCAGTTCCATTGACCAAGATTTGCCTGCGCAATCAGTTGCACCAATCTCACACCTTTTACCCTACTTCACCTTTTTGCCCTTCGCTAGTTCTGGGATTGACATTCTCCATAGTGAGCAAATTTGGAATGGTCACCGTTGCAACAAAGTCGAACTTGAATTACTGTCATTAGCATTGACGTAGCCCGCCAATTGCAAGTGTATGCAGGAAATGGGCATGACAGAAGGGATTTCCTTTATTCTCGTGACCTTCTGGGTGCGCCACTTGCGTTGACTCCCTTCATCTTTGTGGCCCTGGGCAGTACTGTTTTTCTTACTATGACTTGATCTTGCTTTTCCTGATGGACAATAAAAAATTGATATACATTACGTGTTGCTCTAATCGCAAGATATATATGGAATCATATCCCCATTTCAGTTGGTAGCATCGACATTTTCTCAACTTGCCGATTTAGCCTCGGATGCTGAAACCTCATTCAGGCGAGGTAAAGGGGTCTTTAAGCTAAAGGGCTCCATTGCCCCTTAGGAATCCATGGATTTTTAAAGAGACCGATAACCAAATGAGGTTTCAGCATTCGGGCCATAGTTGCTCCCATAAAAATACGTATCTGAAGATGAAACAATGACTTAGTGTTGTTTCTCAACATTTTATTAATTTCATGTCAACAGCGAATGGTGAAGCAAGTGTGGAAGCATATGCAGAACCCTCGGGTCCCTATTTTCCTGGCCAGTCAATCATCATGCACTGTAAAGTCACTGGAGATACAACTAAATTCTGCACCTGGAACCCCCCAAATGGATCACCCTTCGAGCCGAGCTCATTCCCTAACTTTTATGAAAGTGTGAGCAGCGGTAGTACGGCAGAGTGCACTTTCAGAATCAAGAGTGCCAGTGACTTCGAGAGTGGGAAATGGACTTGCAACCCCTTCTTGAGTGGTGGCGATTCGAAAAAGAGCGACCCTATTGATATTCTTGTAGCACGTGAGTAATCTGATTGGTTTTATCTCTACTACTTTTATGCACATGACAATGCAGCCATGTCTCGTGTAGTACATTATTTGAGGATTATTCCTCAGTTGCCTGGGAAGTAATGTTTCTTGTATGTGTTAGACCCGTAACTAAGTGATATTTTTCTCTTCTGCAGGACCGCCGGAATCTATTGAGGTGTCTGAAGTCCGAAAGGATGCTTACCACGAAATCCTTCAGGCTCAAAATGCAGTAAACTTCACTTGTGAGGTGAAAGCCATTCGCCCTGAAGTCGAGAGCATCCAATGGTACATTGGTGAGTAATCTCACACGTTTCTATGCACTAATCTATCTGAATTCTCATTAGTGTGAACTGATCAGCTGGCACAGCTTCACATTACTCCTTCATACTATTTTTCTGACTTAGTATTAATGCTACCCAATTTTTTGCTTTTCATATCCTAGTATATAGAACAGTTGTTTTATGGACAAATTGATGATGATACCTTAATTCTATCATTTCAGTGAGGGAAGATGGGAGTGAAGAACATTTGACGCCGTCTCAACCAGGGCTCCTCCACAGCAACAAAACCTTTGTCTCGGCTGACTTTTCCTCTTACCCAGGAATGCAGAATCAAGGGGTGCAACAGATGATGGTCTATAATGTAAATGCCACCTTGAGTCATGTCTTCTCTCCTCTGGACAATGGGAGAAAGTTGGTTTGCCGTGTGACTCACATGCTGCTTCATCCTGCCAATAATTCTGCATCTGCTAAATTGGAAGTACAATGTGAGTGGGCAAAAAACACCACTGGGTATCATGTTGGGCAATTTGAATGCTACAGTGTCTGCAGCTGAAGACTAACCATCCATGCTCTGAAGTTGCTTTGCATTGAGTTGATATTTGTGCTCATCTTGCTCTTGACAGATGTCCCAGTGGTGCATATGGATGACTGGAAGACAAAGAACTTCGACCCCCATGGAAACAAGTTTTATCTACCACCAGGCACAAAAGGAGAGATCACTGTCTATTTTCTTGCCAATCCACCTATATCTGCTCCACAAAGGGAGGTTCAGTGGATCATTCGCAATGACATTACCTTGAATAGTGGGCAAGAAGAGGGGAAGGTCAAGGCTGGTCCTGTCACTCATGTCCCGGTAAGACTACTCTTGGAAAAAGATACTTTATCTTGCACAATTCTTGTGCAGGATCATGGCTTGGAAAATTAAACTCATGGGTTATTCTGAATGTAGTACACTCTTACCACAGGGACATGTTGGGAGACAGCCAGGTTGTGTAAGGTGTAACTAGTTGCAGTTACAGTTACTTTGAAAAAATAATGAATACTGCCTCTTGAATCAGGTGGCTTTCCCAGAAATAAATTAGTTGTAGATACAAGTTATTCATTGCTACAATGATGGGAAGCTTCATATACTGGTAAGGTGAAAACATTTTCTCAGGGCATAGCAGCAATTCTCCACCAGATCAAAACAAAAAGAGATCTAGAATCCATAAGAGTAATGCATATGAATGCTTTGAAAACTTACTGACAAAATCAATGGAAAATTTTCAAAATAATCTCCACAATTTTGAACAAGAGCTGGCAAATGTTGAAATTTTAGAATTTAGTCCTAATTTTGTCCCTCTACTCACTAGTCTTCTGAAAATAAAGGTAGCAGGGAAGATGGGTTAGTTTAAACATGGGTAAGTGGACATTTAAAAATTGGCCTATGACAATTTAGGTGTGTGCTCTTTTTTCATGAGGCCAGATGCAGCCTTGGCACCAAACCAAAGATTGAAATAACTCAGTACAGTAACCTGAGTACCACATGGCCTGTAATTCCATTTGATGTAGAATAATAAAGTAGGATTTTATTTTATTTTTTGCAGTTTTTTTTTGACCAAAACTCTTTTTGAGGTTGGGTGTTGCAGGCCACTTTTAAAAAATCCACTTAACCCACATGGTATGAGTGTTCCATGTATTAAGTCTGGCTCTGGCGAAGAAGCTCTATACATTTAGCACTTGATAAAAAGCAAAATGTTTGAATGACCTTGAATGACAGCAAAGGCCTCCAGTGGGATGATCATTGGATTCCCTGTAAATATTGATGAAACATGTTCCTTGTGTGAGAAACCCCCTTGAAGTGAATTTACATTGGTGCCTGTTTTATAGAAATTTCAAAGTAATGATGCATGCCTTTTTGCTTTTTTGCCAACTGAAACTGTTGGACTCCTTGGAGACCTCGATAGCAGAATATTTTATTGCTAATAACTTACAATGCTGGTTCCTTTATTTCAGGGCGCAAGGAATGATCTGTATGAGACCACATTGACTATTGACCCAGTGGGCCGTGAAGATGCAACTGATGGATACATTCTTCGACTTTACTCCTCCCCTGTTTCCCCAAATGCACAAGAGCCATTCACAGAGTTTAAATTTAGGGTTGAACTTGGGGACAGACCCCCTGCAGGTGAGAATAATACCCAATTTTATTATCAATGTCAAAGCCACCAATTCTGTTGGCAGCTTTGACATGATTTCATGATGCATATTATACCAATAGGAGAAATTTTATTATGTTTATGTAGAGGAACTCTAGTTGACTTGCAATATTAACTTGTGCAATTTGCATTACATTTTTTAATGCCCTGCAATATGAGAAAGAACTTTTGGTTATGGAGTGGCACTTAATTATTTAATCCTATCAGCAGGATGACTCAGGGATCTCATCCTTTATGGAGGAGGCCCCTGCACTATCTTATATAGGCATATATAGTCTTAATTCTAGGTTATATATATTCCTCAAGTTGAAGTTGTCCACAAAAAAGAATGTAGGAAAAAGTTCTGTTTCATAAAGATTCTTTGAGAATTTTTTCTCTTTTCACTCTATTTTCATTTGGAAATCGACAACCTATCTTGAAGTTTTTCATGGTTGGTGATTGAAGGAGTCCTTGCTCTCAGGAAGACCTTTCCACCATAAGTAATTACTTCTCCATTTACATGTATTTCACCCATAAATTTCATCATGAGGTATTGTCCTGAAGCTGGGGGTCTACCATTCTTTCATTCAATTGTAACAGTGGCACCCAGTTGGTTGTGTATGAGATATCACTTCATGAGATGTATATTGGAATTAGTGGTTGAACTCCATTATTATTGTTTTCATGGAAAAAGAACATTGAGAAATGAGCTAGAATTAATTCATTATTAAATGGGTAAAATTGGCTCAACTTCTTGTCATTACCAGTGGGGCTTGGATTGTGTGTTTCATTCAATTTTTATATCTCATATTAAACCATGAACTTTGTGCATGACAAATCAAGTTTGAAATACCAAACTGACACCAACATGATGGTTAGATATAGCTTAAATACGAGAGTATTATACAGATAACTTTTGCTTCCTATGGTGGCCAATTCTCTGAATATCCTTGTAATGCCTGCAGGTCACATTTATGACCTATCACTTTTTATTTTCAATAAGGGGAGTAGTCACTTCATTGACACTCATTACTAAATTATAAAAATAATTGCTGATAATTCATATTATTAAACCAAATGAAATGCAATTATCTGTCAAGCCTCTCCAAAATGGCAGGTTTTGAACAGATGATTCTTGGGCACTAGGAGGATATAGACAGGTATTATGCCTAGCATTTTTAACTATAGTGCCAGAATCAAAAGTCAAACAGGACTCATTCATTATGCTCTGTTAGTTGGAGATATCACATGAAATAGTATTCATAAAGCCTCCCAGATCTGATTAATGGTGCCAGGCTTTTTGTATATCTTTGGTGGCAAAAATGCCAGTGGCTGGCAGAATTAATGCTAACTTTGTTCTTATTGCCTATATTATTCCAACCAAGAGAAATATTCATAAATGAAACTTAGGTTGTCATTTGTCATTGCATCTCCTCTCACATCTGAGGTGACCCACTAGGTTGTGATCTACAGTAGCACAGCCAAAGAGAAAAGAAGAGGTCAGCTTTCTGTGGTGGCTGCTTGGAGTAGATTTAGGATTTTTCATCTCATTTTCAACCTTCCATTTACACAGTGCACTTAAATTTTCTTCTTTCCTGGAAACCCAGGTGTTTTTGTACAGGGTGGTCCAGAAGTCATAATTGGATAAAAAGTATTTAGCACAAGTGGTATTTATTTACTTTAGCAGATTAACAACACATCATATTAAAATGTGCATGATTCAAAAATCAATAGTTTCTGTGTGGATGCCATTATGTTCACCACACTTGTGTGTGTGGTCATGACTCTTGTTATGATAAAAGTTAAATGTGCAGGATTATGTTTCAACATGGATGGTGTTGAGCAGAGTGAACATCATGGATAAATGTGTAATCTGTTGAATAGTTTGGACTAACATACTAAGCAATACAATTATTTGAAATCATGAATTTTTACTGTTACCATGCAATAGAGCCAATCCAATCATGACTTTTGGACTACCCTGTAGTTATCACACTAGAGAGAACCAGAGTTGATAACTTTAAATTCCATACCCAATTAAATATTCTTTTTTTACCCCTTGACTGGGGAATCTGATTCAATAGTAGACTCAGGCATGTGCTATGAGGTTAGTATAATTTGGATACAGTAACCATAGACTTTTAATAGTCAATGAGGAAAGAAAATTACTAATGCCAACTGGTATATTTCTACTTACAGCTGGCATGGATGCAGGAGTGATTGCAGGAGTGGTGATAGCCGTGATTGCTTTGGCAATTGTCATTATATTGGTGGTCATAGCACGTGTAAAGGGGCTGTTCTGCTTTGCAGGTAAGGCACTCTTACAGCTGGCATGGATGCAGGAGTGATTGCAGGAGTGGTGATAGCCGTGATTGCTTTGGCAATTGTCATTATATTGGTGGTCATAGCACGTGTAAAGGGGCTGTTCTGCTTTGCAGGTAAGGCACCACGACTACTATCCCTTCATTCTAATCTGCACACTCAGTCTGGCCCTGGACAATATGACAAGAATTGTCATTCCTCTCTTCTATTGTCTCCCCTCAAAAAATCTCATGATGAAGGGACTGCATGACGAACTTGAAACGTACGAACCAGAATAAAAAGACTGAAGAGTCAAGGGAAGAGAAACGAAACGACAAAACAGAACCAATGAAGTTACGAAATATCTATAATAGTCAACCAGTACTACGGACTGACTGGCTCACTTACATTGTTATTCCAACCTGGCATGCAGTAACTCTCGAGTACAAAGTAATATTTTATATTATCATGACTGGGTGTTTCATTTCTTGTTTGTGTCCTTCCATTCAGAAAAGCAGAACAAATCTGTTTTGGGTTTCTTGGTGACGACCTCTTTTCAGCTTTGCTGCTGGCTCTCTCTCACACAAATTGGTGATGGGTTTGTTGTGCATATCCACCATCCTGGATGATGGTGTCTTCATGTCTGACCTCCTCCTGGTGTTTGTAATATTTTATTCCCATGCCTTGTCCCCCTTTGCTGAGGAGCTTTACAAATAGTGATATGCTATGAAGGAAGGGCTCAATATGAGCAAGGCAAGTGATGGCACTAAAAAAGGAAATGAGTCCCTCCCTCTGCCAGTTTTTTTCCCATCCTTCCTCTTCACTAACTATTGTAGGATTGCAGTGGGTCTTATAAAGACATCCTGGGTGTTCACTTGCCTTCTCACTTGGTCTCTTCCTTCCTTGCCACAGACAGGGTGAAGACACGGGGGGAGTCACGGGCACGTATCGACTCAGAGAGTCCAAATCCAATTCTAGATGGAACTGTGAACCCAGCAGCAGATATTCACAAGTCCTCAGAAGAGACAGCCAGGGAAAATGGCCACCAGGAATCAAATTCAAATGGCAAGATGANTAGATGGAACTGTGAACCCAGCAGCAGATATTCACAAGTCCTCAGAAGAGACAGCCAGGGAAAATGGCCACCAGGAATCAAATTCAAATGGCAAGATGAATGGACACAAGGATGATATTCCCATCCCTAAAGACACTCCTGTTTGAGATAATGAGATCAGCAGCAACCAATTGTTAAATTTCCCCCCCCCCCCCCCCCATTTTCTCTGTGATCTCATGGAGTTGTGGATGTGTTCTGTGCTTTATCTGCAAGAATGTGTTTGACATGACTTCTTTCCCTGACTTTTTTTTTTTTTTTGCAAAAACATGTCTTGGACCATACCTGAAACATCATCAGTGATCCTATGCTGCCTTCTCAATCAAACACAGATGGATATTGCCTGTGATTTGCTCTCGTTAGACTTCTGTGCCACTATCCATTTCTATGATTGACATAGTTTTGAAATGCTTTCATTTCGTGAATAAATTGTGCAATGACATTTTCAAGTAGAGATCACATCTAGGGTGGTTTAATTTCTGCATGAAACCCATCGGTGAGCCAGTATGTATGTATGTAGGCAGTCATGATCCTTTCACTCCTCCTTTTTTGGCATGCATGATGGAATTGGATTCTGGAACCGACACAGCACTTTCTAGAATATTTCTCCAATTCAGGTAAGTCATGTCCATGGGTCTCCTTTTGGATTCATTTTTTATCCTGTTCAATTCACAAGTCTAACACCTGATAATTCTGATAAATCTGGTTTGTTTTTTATTCCCTTGCAGCACCAGAGGGAAGGAAGGAAGGGTGAGTGTCATTGTATGATTGAATTGTATGATTATGAGAAAGGGAAAAAATTCTAGACTAATGCATGTGCCTCTGGGTAGTAGCGAGACGGAGAGTGCAGACCGAGCCCCTGCTCATGGCAAAGGAGGGAAGCCACTTGCAAGTCGACTCTCTGATCTCTACAATCGTGTCACCAATCCCAAAAAGGAGAAGAAGAAGGACATGGCAGATGTGGAGGCTGCTAAGAAGGAGGTCCTCTTTTCTCTTTTTCACATCTTGTTCACTCCACTGGTAACAATCTTTTGGAGTGGAAGAGTTGAATTGAAACTTTTTTGTGTAGGAAGTGCCGCTGACTGAGAAGGAGAAGGAGAAGCACGGGGAATCAGAAGGCGAAGAAGAGGAAAAGAAGGAAAAGGAGGGTGTTGTATATGCAGAATTGGATCTGAAAGAGAGTGGAAAAAAGCTCCCTCCAAAGAAAACAAGTCCCGGGGAGAGTACAGAATACGTGGAGATTGTGGGAACTGTCCCACCGCCGCCATCTTACTCTGAACCCCCTAAATAAAGGACGCACTGAGAAGTAATACCCATGTACTCAGGCATTCAGTCAGTCTCTTTTTATGCTTGCCTTGGCTTGTTTTTTTTCGTGTTTTTTTTTTTGTATTTGACAAGTGGCCTCTGAACCTAGGATTGTGGCCTATGACCTCAGATTCTCCCTGAAACATTCCATTTTTCCTCCACTGTAATATAATGATGGCTTGAGTGACATGAGTGAATCATGGGATGATTGAGTTGATTGTATGGTATAGAGAAAGGAGGATGAAGAGTGTACAGTTTATTGAATTGTGACTGAATTGTGTTTTTGTAAACCTAGGTTTTTTATTATTATATATTAGGTCGTTGTGATTCCTCTGTGCCCCTTATTCCCTGCTCAAAGAACAATTCTGAAATAAAACACCCTTTTTTAATGCCTGTTTTATTTCCCATTGCATTTACCATCGCATTTCTCATCCGATTTCAATGCTACTAGAACTACAGCGGCCTCTTCGCTGATACCGAACTCTTCAGATGATAATTGACATTGGAATATTTATTTTATGGGGGAGATTTTAATGTTGCGCTGTTATTGATGAACCTGTAATCGGTGAAGTTACACGTGTATGTAGTACTTCGGTTCATGCAGAAGTTTGTTTTCTCGGGAAGCGTAATCATTTCGCTGGAGGAGACAGATTTATGGTTAACGATGGAAAACATGGTCAGGATGGTGGTTTCTTCGCAAGTGCTCTTCATGGAAAGCTAGGCTCGAGCGTTCTGCATCATCTGTCTCTAATGTACAGGAATGCTTGTTTTTTTTTTTATCCTCAAACGAAGGCCAATAGAAGTAGGCTTGAAAGTCTTGCTTCTCGTGTCATGTCACCAAGCCGGAGCTGCTAAATGGTGCGCTTGCAGATGCCCTTTCCTCCTGAGGATTATCATCGGAGTGATGAAGGAACCTTGTCCATGATGAGAAGGAAAAACGGGAGAGAGAGAAAAAAAAAAGCTGGAATCTCGGCAGGGAACGGAAATGAGCCCATCTCTCTCCCTCTCTCGCCGGCAAACAGACCGTACATATAAAGTCGGGGTCCCAGGACCCCAAAGGACGACAGACGGGACACCATACTATACTCTTCCCTAGAGATTTCTCATCTGTTCTTTTATTCCATCTTGGGATTCTTCCCCCGAGCGGCGAAATGAGGTGCTGCATTCCTTATTTGTTTGTTACACTCGAATTACTTGAAAGAAAAAGCGGATGTGGTCTTATTGGATGTGTGGTTTTGGGGTTCTCTGCTTGCATAATGTGGGGGTAAATTATGCACAGTTACGCATCCTAGTCCGTTATCGATGCTCCGCCATTTTCTACTGGATGTCAGTGCGTGAGAGAATAAAGGCTTCGTGCCGATAATGAAACAACGGTCCAGTTTTCCCCCTTTTTATTTGATGACATATAATAAGCATTGATAAAAGTGGCATCCCATGGAGCGAGTCGGGACACGAATGACACTCTGCTCTGCATGACCTGGCCCTATGCCCATTCGCTTCTCGCTTATCCTGTGTGATTGTGTCGGGGATGTCACATTGGAAGTAATAGAAACTTTTTTTTCGAACCGGACGGGTGGTCAAGAATTCCAAGGACAATAATGCTGATGGAGGAAAGATGTGTCGGTGTCTTTTCCCTTTCAAAGGGATTTCTATTCACTGCATTTCTGGTTCTTGGAGCCAGGAATGGAGAAAAGTCGGTGACGGGGATGAAATGTGATTGCGTTCTTCCGTCTTATGTGATGACATGATCCCTTGGGGACTGGCGGAAAAAAGATCCCGAGGATCTTCTGTCCTCAAGCCCTTTTCCCCCTGATTTATTATTATCAGCATTCATACGATGAACCTACCCCTCGAAATTGTCTCTTTTAGGAAAGAAAGAAGAGAAGAAAGGGAAAGAAGAAAAAGAGCTAGAGACGAAAGATTTTCTTCTCTGCCGGGCCATGAGGAAGAGGCGCCTTCGGTGATTGCGTTTCATTTCTCTCCGGGAAATGAGATCTCTTCATCGGGGTAACTCTGTATGCTTCCCTTTCCTTCTCCGAAAGGGTAGGAAAAAAGAGAGAACGGAGGATTAGGAAAGAAACGGAAGAAAGGAATGGGACATATACTGGAATGCGCGGGTGTGGATCTTCTCCGTCCGAGTTTATGCCGTGTTAAGGGAGGCAATTCCCTTGGATATGGGGGTCTCTCCGTAATGTCTTTCATGTTCTCATCTCTGTCTCCCCTAATGCTCTCTTCCTTATGTCCTTATAGGACCTCGGGTGTTAGGGACAGAGTCATTTCGGTCCACACACATCCCCTCCTTCATATTATCTCCGTCAGCTTGTCCCCTTCCATCTCTTATCTCTCCTGTTTTTCGATATGAGGGACGACATTCCGGGTTCTTTAAAAGAAAGTTTCGCATTCGGTTCGCCATTCCAATTCCTATTGACAAAGAAACGTACTCAAGTATAGGTAAAATGAGTATTGAGATTCTTAAATGTACTGAAGCACCAAATAAACACTCATAATTGTATTTGAGTGAAGGTGTACATTTGGCTGGAATAAGGTCGTACAAGGTGAACTTGGGGCGTCTTTTGGTAATCGATAAGGGATGCTAGATCCGAGAAGCCATCTGACTGTACGATAGTCATCCTGTCCAATTTCTTTCCAATTGGACTCCATGAAGGTATGAACCTGACCCTAACTCGTCAGTAAGTGATGACGTCATTAGGTCAAGCTCTAGAGTTTAGTGTATGAACCTACCGGCTGAAAGAAGCGGAAAGTGTGGGAACACTCCAGGATGGCGTCTAATCGATTCCCCCCCCCCCCTCCTACCACCACCATCCGTCAATGCCTCGACAGTCAGTTTCCTGCTTGGAGAATTCTCCGTCTCATAGGTTTTCCCGTAGGCGAATTCCTCGATGTGATACGACGGTAAAGAGCGCCGATAAAATTTGATTGACAATTACAGTTCGGTCTCGGAAGGGGGAAAAAAGTGATGTTAAAGAAAAGATTTGATGGATGAGGTCGCAAAAGGGAACAGACAGAGCAGGAAGGGGGATTAAAGTAGGTGCTACAGTTGGTACCTTCATCCCTGGGGCAGAGGAGGTAGAATTAAAGGTCAGAGTTGTCAGGAGGGTCGAGTTCAGGTAACCGGTCGGTCTTAACATTCCTTTGCAAGCACATGGCCATTTCGCTCGTATGGCGTGTGGCGCAGTATCCTTTCCTTCCTTTCCTGCATGCGATACTTCGCGGTCATTCCTCATTTTCTTAATTCTTGCTGCGTGATGATTCCCAACATTTCATTTTCATTTGATGAAACTGATAAATCTCCGAGAATCTGAGTGCAATAATTTGCGTTTAACAGGATACAGTATAAAGTTCATAGTTCACACCTGACACGATTACCGTTTTAAGAATGGGGAAATGAAGAAGCTTTCCGTTGTCTCAAGTACAGTACTGTGTAAGGAAGTCACAAGACCTAAACATGTGACAACCCTGTCCTTCCTGAAATGTCTTCTACTACTGCCACAAGCCACTCAACATTCCAGGTGGGTTTACGAGGATTTAATCGCATTTCCTCCCCTTTTGACCTGCCACGCTGCCGCCGCTACTGCGTTTTTTTTTTTCCTTCGAGGGAGGGAAAGAATGAGCTATAGTCGAGGCGCTACGGCGGCAAGCTTTACAGGTCGCCTCTATCAAGGTCGTAAAATGCTGGCTAAGAAGGCTTGGAATGCCTCACCCAAGGGAGTTTTATTCACAATGACAGCGAGGCTGCAGCTGTGCGTACTGTAATGTATTGAAAGCAGAATCGGTACAGCATCTATAGCCTCGTTTCGACCGAGACGGTATCCTGAGATAGGCATCTCCTGGGATAAGTCGAAACAGTGACTTTCGTCTCCCTCCTGCCGTGAGAAGCGCCTCCGGGCAACCCGGTCGATTCCAAGGGCTGCTCTGGGACCTTTCCAAGTCTTGGTCTCAGTCGTAACGTAACGTAAAGTGAGCCCTCTGGAACGCGTGTCTAACTCTTTTTCCTATTTCTTTCGCTACGCTTCCGATCTCTTGCGAATGAGTGTTCAAGCTATTTGTAAGCACTCCTAGCTCTGTTTAGGGAGCTAAATAACATGGAAAATCGCATTCCTCGTGCAGAAATCCAGTCCGATTCCACCCAATTTGTTGCAATCCACATCCACGACGTATCGCCCCGCTCTTTCATCCGAGTCCATCGCTGACTATCCAATAGTACACCTCGAGAGTGCAATCGTTGCTCGGGTGACCATTTCCCTCCTTCGCAGGAGAAACTGGACAGCTGCTTCTACTGCTTGGAGTTTTTCGATCATTCAGACCCTCCCAGAGCAGACTGCCAAGTATATCACTCACAAAAACATGTTAATCACATTCATATTCAATCGTATGGCTGGCCTTCGCTGTTTAAGGTTCACAGTGGTGTAATCTACTGGACAGTTTGTGATAGATGCATCTAAATGGCTGGAGTCCCAAGAAATCTCAGAACAGTCAGAATCCTCATCTGAAATAGAAACTAATCCCAGAGTTGACAGGTTTGACAGCTGAATCAAACTATCTCGAGACACTTGTCATCTCGCTGATTAATATGACATCTCAGAAAAGGCTGTCGTCGAAACAGAGCTTATATCCAGTGCTTGGGCCCGTTGGCACGTTACGTGTGAAAAGTAACAAGTCACAATTAGGTCTTGCAAGTGTTCCATCCTTACACTAATTACGAGTATAATACTTTCTCGCCAACAGTAACTAGTTAAGTACAAGTTACTTTTCGAGTTGCTTTTCACGAGCTATGTCGACTTGGAACGGTCTTTCATTCTAACGATATTCCTGTGAATGACGCGGAAATTTCGTATAGCAACCGACATTCGATATAACGAACTCAAAGGGACAGACTAAAAAACTTCGTTAAGGAAAATTCGTTAAAGGGAGTTCTCCACTTGAAAATAAAGTCGAAGGCCTCTTGAACAAAATATAATTTATCGCCAAAAGGGATGCAGTTGTCCTTTCATGAAAAAAAGTCACAGTTTGAGGGCGTGTCATATTGCAAAAATACAGCTTCCAAGATGTGCGTATGTACCCTAAATGGTCGTGCACACCACGGTGTGTCCTTTATGTAGGAGTAATAAAAATCGGACGAGTCACGGACGCCGTCAATTCATTGGAAACAGTCTAAGATGGTTGTCAGGCGTGCTCTTTCCCGGGCGATTCTTTCGGCTGTGGCTTGCAGAATTATCAACGTTTGAAATTGTTCAGGCTCACAGTCGGCCTTTGAAAAATAGCCGAAGGTAGTCAAAGGCCTCGATCGCCCGACCGAGCAGAGTTCTGGACTCGGCCTGATCCTCATCCTTAAATTCCTGAGAATATTAAGATTGACTTGGCCGCAGGG